TTTGTCTAGAGTGACAGACTAATGCAGGCTGTGGTATATTTTTACAATATGGCCTTAAATTTGTAGCTGTTGATCCCAAAGTTGGGCTGTGTAGTTTGATATTAAGCATGTTGAGTCGAGGGTTGAGGAGGCAACTATCGCTGTGCTAGGCGGAGAAGGACACCAGTCCTGAAGAGATGAACGCTCACATCGTCTGCTCAGCGTGCATGGTGACAGATTTCTGGTGGGACAAAATTAATATGAAAAATGATCAGCATAATACGGTTGAACACATGGACAAAGGACCTTAATAGTTAATGTATTACGGAATGAAAATAAAGGGAAAGTTACTTTGCGATTCATTTGCAGTGGCTCCATTTTTGTCATGCTTAACCGAGCTTTTAAATTCCGAAGTGAAGCAGATTTTTTTTTTTTTCTTGGCTAACGTCAATATTCAAAGTGTTTTTCGTGCTCTGTCGATTATCAATTGCATGACTTCAGCAGAGGCTTAGGTGCAAAGTAGTCTCGGAGTTTAAGTGTTTAATTCATCACTGCATGTACGCTTTGCTGTCAGGCCACGCATTTAATCGTTAAACCGATCGCTAAATGTATTGCATGAGCTTCGGTATAAAAGTGGAAATGTGAGTTCCACAAAAAAAGTGCCATTTCAAAAAAACAACAAATACCCTTTAAAGCTCCTGTATTTGATCAGATGCATATTTTAAGGAACATGTTCATTTTGAAATAATCAACAAAAAGGCAGCCATATCTGCAGCACTCAGAACTCTTATTCTATTAAACTTGATTCAATGCATTTATTAAACAAATACTCTTATGCTAGTGATATGAGTAATAAAAGTAGTCTATATATTGAAAATAAGGTATAAAACCAAATTTAAATGCCCAATCACTTTAATGAGAGAAATTAAATACATAAATTGCCCTTTATTTATTTACAGTGCGATCTCAGTTGGCCAAAGCATTTATTAAAGCTAAAATTCCAGCTGACAGAACCAAAGTTGTTAGTCAAACAAACATGCACTCGATTGAGATCAGCACAACACTCTAGGTGTCTTTGAACTGGGTTTCTTCTAGGAAAGCTGCAAAGGATCTTTTACAGACTTCAGGCCGTTCCTGCTCACTGTTCTTGTGAAACCACAAGAGAGCACGGCTGTTAGTCTCTATTAGAAATTCCCCTAAAACAGTCACTGGCAGTGACTGCACAAGGCAGTGCTGCTGGAAGGGACAGTGCACATGTGTAATGTCCCCCCCAGCACGGCAAACAAACAAACGAACAAACAAAGAAGATTTTCAGTTAATCAAGTAAAGCACGAGGTCCTGAGTTAGCCAGAGGGGTCTTTCCGAGTGCGACCATCTGTATGCGGTCTGGCTGATTGACATTATATATACGGCAGAATATGCAATGAAGACAAGATGAGCAGCAGAATCCCCAAACTAACAGCTGAACACTCAGAGCTAGCAGATTAACAGTCTGTCAGATGGGCCAGTCAGGACCACACCCTCCAAGGCTGTGCGGAGGGGGTCACGAGAGCCGAATGGTCAGGCAGGAATGCAGGGGGCATGTGGGTATGATCTGGGCAGTGGATCTGGGCCTGATGCGAGAAGGGGATGAGGCCAGGTTTCTCCCCCTCTGGGGCTGACTGGCGTGTGGACAGGTGGATGCCACATGGGGGGGTGCGGCGTAGGGCTCGGAGCCCGCTGGAGGGAACCCACAACCCCTGACGCAGCATGAGCAGTTAGCTCCAGTGTGAGCCAGGAGTGCAACAGTATGCACTGCACCCCTCCGCTGAGTATCGGGGTGGGATTTAATCCCCCCGCCCCATCATGTGGCCCGGGGGGTTGGGGGAGCAGAAGGCCAAAACGCAATGCTTCATGAAGACAGTGGTAAGTTCTGTAGATATAAAAATAGATCTAAAGCGATTGCCAAAGGCAGCTCCCATCAAATGAAGGGAATGTCCAGCTAATTAATGACTGCTGGCTTTGTGATTAGGGCTACCGTTTGGCAAGTGTGGTACATACCATTCCGTGCTGTTCCTCTTGGTTTTAAGTTATGGGTTTGAGCACAACTATATCTTCAGCGGAGATTGTGGTAAAGATAGCAGGCTTGAAAATCTAGAAGCAGCACAGTGTCCAAACGGTACCCACATATCCAAAAATCCCAGGATGACATATCGGATTGTCTATGGGCAAATTTAGTCTCGATTTTAAATTCTTCTTACATAGAAATAGAAGTGAAAGACTTTTATTGTCGATCAACCTCTAATATTCTGGAAGCGTATTTTCGATGAAGCCATTCTGGAAAAACACCAAGTTTATGCAGACTAGCTAAGCTGCTCAAACGAGCCACATGCCAGTGTTCTGACTCATTCGGCTTTCTTTGGCGTCAGAGAATCTGGCAGAAAATGGCATTCTGGGTATCATGCGAGCCCAGAGGAGCAAGGGTGTCATCCGACTTCTGTGTGGCTCCCTGGGTCTGATAAACATGCTGCCTGATCATCCTCAGGCACTGAATAAGCGCGGCCTTTGCATTCAGCGCTCATGGTTCACGGTAATCCAGGAGCAGTCAGGTGACGTTCAAAGGATTCGAGCCAGTGGGTCCAACACAGAAGAGGTTCTCCAGGCTGGGCAAGGAAAGAAGGTAATGGTGCAAAGGATGGTGACGTTCCATCTTACTTGCTAAGATATTAAATAAAACACATGAAATACTTTAATAAAAGTGCACATGAACCTATTGCCAGTTGCTACTTCAATATAGAATCACAATACCGTCATAAGAGAGAGTATTCATAGCTATCAAGCACGATATGAAGTAAATCACAGTTGTCTACATTCTCCTACAAATATTCCCTACAATAGAGGAACTGACAATTTGCCTACAAAACACAGCCGATCACAGCTTAGTTAGAATCAGCCGAAGAACAGAATTATGGGACTTCACCCGAATGCCACCAACAAGACAGACGTTTCTTGTGGAGCGCTGAAAGTATCTAGCATTAACAAACGGAAAGATGTGTATTCTGAGCGAAGGCATTCTGGTGCGGGGCTGACGCGGAGATTCCGGTGTGATTAATGAAAACTAATTTTTCATGGCAATTAAAACGATTAAAGCCAGAGGGACTTTACCGTCGCCTGAATTGCTCCAGGAACAAGGCAGCCACAAAGCTGCGCACTGAAATTGCATTAGTAGTAGAAGAGAACTGTATTAAAATGCAAATGTACAGCTGTTAATAGTTCTTCAAAAACCAATAATCCCCCACGGTCAGTCATGTGTCAAAATGGTTAATGGAAAAATATCCCAGAGGCAGGCTGCTTCTCCTCTATTCTACTTTTGATTAAAGCAGAAATTCCATTTGGGGAATAGGGTGGAGGGACAGGCAGAGAGGAGCAAAGCAAAGGCTTTAATATCGCTGAGACGCAAAGCTGCGGAAATTGTTGTTTAAGTGTCGGGGTTCCTTAAGAACATTCCGGAAGGTGTTAAAAACAGCCAGTTCTAAGACTATCCTGATGAAAAGCATGAAGCAGGAATGTTTGTATTTTGTGATATTTACTAAAATTAAAAAAATGGGAGCTTTGTGTCAGATGTCAAGCAAACCATAATTGAATCGTTTAGTAATGTCCCCTGTCACTTAATTATGAGCTCGCTGCTGGTTATGTGTCTGCTAATGAAACCTGACCAGAGATTGAAATGATTCCCATGCATGAGGCTGTGCAGCGACGCGGCGAATGCTCTGGGAGCTTCTTGAGACGTATATTTCTGTTTCATGTTCTGAGCACAGGGGACCGATCGGGCTAAAGGCTTTAGGTCACCGTTTAGGTCAGTGAATTTCCCACGATGCGACACATAAGATGATGTTTTTTTTTATAGCACATGGTCGCCTTCGGTCATAGTTTGTCATGAGGTAAAACAAATACTTATGGCATTGTCTGAACTAGATTTTTGTCATGTAGTAGTAGTAGGAATAATAATAATAATAATAAATATAATTATAATAATAATGTTGGCTTAGTGGGTAGCTTTGGTGCCTCACACCTCCAGGACGGTTAGAATATTTCACTCATACTTAACCTTTCCAGGATGAATTCCGATTTTACACATAATTGTAATTCACCGTGTAAAAATGGCTTATTCCGTTCTCACTGCTTTGCGTTACGGGTGCAGATGGTCACTGCACGCATGGAGCACACAGCTGGCGCTAACAGGTCGGCACCCCCACACTGTGACGTTTGATAATGTCCAGTGCGGGGCAATTCCCCCAAGTGCTTTGAAAGTGAGGCATTTAGGGGGCAATTTTGAGGAGACCTCTTTAATGAAGATGGCAGTAAATGTCCCCCGTGGGCAGACAGATCAACTCAGAAGCCTGGAGGGGGATCCAGTTTATTAACTGATAAGTCACCAGTAAATGGAAGATGCCCCACCTCCCCTAGAGGACTAATCACTTTAAAGCTAACTGCTGATTCCTAACTGCTTGCGTCTAAGAAGCTTTTCATCGGTAAATGTTGTGTGTAAAACACTAAGCATTATGGGAGGAACATCTTCAGGTTCATGGCTGATTTACTCATTACAGAATGAGCTTTCCCACCAATCAGCATCACACCTGCTGTCATGTGACATCCATTGCTTCCTTGTGACTGGCAAAACCATTCTCAGCTTTCAGTGTCTGTCAAACCTCTTCCACTCACAGGTTTGGTAAAACAGCCAAAGTAAATACAAGGGAATCTGAGAACAAATGCTGGTCTCCAATAACACACACACACTCAGCCCATTCGGCTGAAAAAACTCTCAGCATTTTATTTATGTGTACATTTCCACTTTCACCTTCCCCCAAGAAAGAAAATGTATTCATACAGATGAATAGTACTCGGAATATATTGTGACAACTTTACTGCTTTTGTACATTTGAGTTCCATGGAGTTCACATCTAGTTACATGAACCGATCGTTTTCCCCGTGTAACCGAGAACGAGCGGAGATGGTCTTATGGGGGTGGGGGGGGGGGGGGGGGGGGGCGGTGGGGATGTTTCTGGGGTTGGATTGAATCAGACAGGTATACTCAGCGTATACAGGCATATACAGAAGCAGCTCAGTTAAGATAAACTATATACAATACAAACCATTCATACAAATTAAGCTCTAGGATATAGAATTTATCACATCTATGACAGTTGGTGAGGGTGAGAAACCTTTTCTCCGTTGGCCTGATGTGGTAATTAGCCTTCATCCGACACATCAAGCCAGAACAAAAGATATTCAAGGGCCTGAGATTATCGTTCCCGGATGGGAGAAACAGGCATAGCCTGTCTGTGGGAAGGACATCCAGCTGCGGGAAGGAATATCTCATAGGTGACCCGGAATGTTCTTTTTGGAACACGCGGGACATTACTTATCAGAGTGGTCTCAGTACTGGAGTTCTGGGGAATGCAAGGTGGAGGCAGTAGGGGAGAGAATGACTGGAGATTGGGGGGAGGGGGGTCTGTATGAGCCAGATTCCGAGTGAGACACCCCAGGCTGAAATGTGGCTGCGTACCTGCAAAATCAAGACCGAATATTTGTTCAAAGAAAAAAAAATGAAATTAAATTGCAGTAGATGTATGGGTAGGACCTCCAGTCGCAATCGCCAATGAAATGATTTTTTTCAGGGTTAAGTAAGATTTGACGGCAATTCCAGCTTTCAATGCTATTAGCGTCTATGTACACACGATAATCTTAAGGGACAACCCAGTTAGCGTACAGGAAAGAGCATAATAATATTAATAATCAGATCAACACACTGGATAGGAACATTACTGCAACACTGCCTTGTACACCTTAACTGTCTTTCCCCAGAATTACTCAGTATTACACCTGTATGGAACTGTATTCGACAGAATAATTCATTTGACTCTTTTATTTTGCATCACCATTCTGTTGTGGATATGTTCAGGACAGAAGAAAAAGCTAAAATATATTTGGGGGGGGAATGCCCTTTTAGCATAACTTTTTTGTTGTTGTTGTCCTGGCGCTCTGGTTCTCAGCCGGACGGGAAGTAGGGAGTGTCACTGTGGTAGTTATAATCTGGACATACTTTCTGCACTAGTTTGTAGTCAGTGCTGTAGAAGGAGATGTAGATGCAAATGACTTTGAAAGGTTTCGAGCAGAGCCATGAGACGTGGCTCTGCGTCTGGTCCTGGTAGCAGGTCTTGGACGGGTCGAAGTTGCACAGCGTGTTCTTAGTAGACTTGTCTACCTTCTCATACTCGATGCGGCAGTTGAAGGACTTGGAGTCTTTGGCGTCGATGACGGACTGCTGGGCCGTCAGGTCGAACTCCACGATCTTGGTGGGCGGCACCAGGCTGACGGACACGTTGCCCTGCCCCGTGGAGTTGTGCCGGAAGTAGACGCTGAAGGTGCCATTTCCATGGTCCACGATCTTGCCTGTGATCAGCAGGTTCAGCTTCACCGTTTTGATGTTGGAGTTGAAGTCGCCCCACCCAAACATCTTCTTGAACTTGCCCGTCTTGACGATGGGCCGCCTCTTGGCCCGGGGTCGTGAGTCCTGGGGTTCCGTGGAGTTTCGCAGCCAGTCCCACAGGTCCTGCTCGGAGTACGGCTCCGGCGTCTCGTACCGCAGGTCCAGCGCGGTGCTGTTTTCCTTCCCGTGCAGAGTCTGTGACAGCAGCCGGCTGATAGACAAGTCCTTACTGCTTTCTGTCCATATGTGTTTTAAGGTCGACTTAGGGCTCCCTGATTTAAGCACTTCTGACTTGCCTGGAGTGGAAGCATGGGCACTAGATACCTGACAAGACAAAAAAGAACAAAAAGACACTGATTTATCAAGCTGTTATGCATGTAAAATTCACAGCGAGCTCAGCGCATGCAATTAATAACCAGTGATAGTCACATAGCACGGAAAAAGACCTATTTTTCAAAAACTCAAAGAAACAATACAGGTTTAGACGTAAAAACAAACCACCGATTTTCGTTTACACCAAAATGTTTGTGTGTTGGGACAAGGTGAAGCAGCTTTAAGAAGAACACAGGGACTGGTGTGCTGTGACACTCTTTGTTTGCCTGCTGACACACTGTGATATGCATCATTCTGTCCCTGGAAGTGAGCGCAGGCCTGCTTGTTATAGGAAGTATTTGACTCTGTGATCGATGCAGCTACGAGTTCCGGCCGATTAACGTGGCTGTGCGAGCCACGAGCCGGACGGCAGGCTGCAGGGTAAGGTGACGCCGGTGGCCTGGTCTCCACAGTGACGGTTTACATACGGGGGAAAAGCTGTCAGGGTCACGGGGCAGGAGAAAGAGTGGAAGTAAAAAAGTGGGAAGACAGCGTATGAAAGAGTGTGTCAGCAGAGAGGTTAGGGGAAGGAATCTTAAAGAGGCAGCATTCGGGCACATGGGCGTTATCGCGGCAAAATAGGCCTGCATTATCGTGGCAAAATAGGCCTGCATTATTGCGGCAAAATAGGCCTGCAGGAGAGGAAAGTGGATGGAAATATGACAAAGTAGGACAGCAAGCAGCTAGAAAGCAAAAAAAAAGTCAAAGCTTGTCACCGGCCCTCACCCCCCCTCCATGACGCTGCCTCACAGATTACCGATTCCCAGACGCACGCGAGCGGGGGCCAGATGTCAAGTCAGCCGCTGAGGACGCCCAGGCAGCTGGGAGCCGCAGATCCCTCCGCCCAGGAGGGGCCAGGAGCCGCAGAGATCAGAGATGCGGCTGCTTACACAGGGATCGACTTGAGGAAACACGGTGATGTGGCCCATCTGGGCCGGCAAACTCCGAACACGGATGCAGGGGTGTTCCATTACACCAGACACAGGATACTATGGCATCTTTATGGCACATGGACCCATGGGGCTCAGGGACTGGAGGCTGGAGGGGGGGGTTATTATAACTCTCAGCACAGTAGGGTTATTTTTCGGAAAAAAAAACGTTTAGTAATTTGTCCTTATTTTCATATACATTTCTGGGGAGGGGTGTCCTTCATGTGGTTGAGCCCCCTTAAGGGTCAATTTTTAGAGTCAGCTCTGGCTACGGAGTTACATACAAATCAAAGTCTCTAAGTCAATAGAGCAAAACTATAAAAGCATGAGGGACAGACTATTGTTCTTAGTTCCTCACACAGCAAACTGACTTTAAGTTCCCAATTCAGCCAGTTACAGCTGAGAAGAGGGACTTGCCCCCCAAGCTTTCTGGAAACATCTGTGCCCTTCCGTGTTTCAAAGTAACAAACGTACTTGTGTGTTCTTTTTGACATGCAGACGTAATCACCTGCAGTTAAAAGGCCACAACACCAGTGTGGCTTGGGTACTGGCGCCCTCTGGATGAGACAAGAGCAGCTTTCATGTTTCACGGAATTATTTGTAAAATTTCACAATGTTGTCATTGGTCTTGCGCAAAAAATATTTTTAAAACAAAGGACTTGCGAGAAATCAGTGCATCTCTCTTTGCCAGCTGTCAAAAAAAGAACAACAACAAAATGGATAATACAATCTCTTTTCTACTGGAAGACACCCAGTGCATTCTGGGACCGCCACCAAAACGGGCGCAGGCGGCCAGCCGGCCGCACACGTCGCCGGCAGCCGAAGCGGGAATCTCCGTCTCCTCATTATCTGTGTGATTCACGGTGCCGTAGTGTTTTTCAGGCAGACCGAGGGCGGCGCCGGGACACACGCCGGGATCTGTCACGCTCCTGAACCTAGCTGTGCCAAATCGCGCACCGAGGCCGTGTGCGGCTGGCCGTGTTTCATCATGAATACATCGCTGATTTATGGCGGATGGAGGTCACGTGTAGATGATCATCCTTCGTTAGCTTTTGGCGTTTTTTCCCCCGTGATTTCTGAAAGCACGACATGCTGCTTGTTTAGCTCCGTCATCGAGCAAATCGCTGAGAGTAGCTTTGTGAATGGACCTAGCGGAGGCCGCCGATGGGATGTGGCTAAGACCTCCCTCTGATCCTCTTTGTCTTCCGGCTAATGTTTACTAAATCCCACTCCCTCCATCTAATTAAAAACCTCCATGCTCCCGTTAAAAGCAGGACACAGACTGCCTTGTGCTAAGGCACAAAAGAACTTTAATTAATCAACTACATCGAAACGCTCTAACAGACAGTGCTAATGTTTACACACAGCTACAATATCACATTAAATATGGTTACAATATTATAATAAATGGTCTGCGTTTCCATCTGAACCAGAATTTAAGGTAGCTATTAACGTTCTCCAAAGAAACAATTAGTTGACCAAACCTCGAATTGATTAAACTGTCATTTAGGGGTGGTACCAACTTTATGGTATATAAACATTGATTTAAAGAAGCATGAAACAATATTTCTTTAACAAAGGCAATTTATCTATATTCAACATTTAGTGCTCTGTATGTGATCAACTAAATATTGTTATTTGCATAATAACCACTGTAGTGGTTTTTTTTTTCTATATAAATAAAATAGCTGAACAGAAATCCAGGTGTCAAGCTGCGCTGCGGAGCTAATTAAGATAAGGGCCAGTCCACATGGGCGATGCGTCTCGCGGAGACGCGTGAATATCGCTGTGGCGTCCTCAGTGCGCCCCGATGATTTGGTTAGTCGCCGTATTCCGGGCGGAAGAGACAAGGAAGCGTCAGAGACCGGCCTCCCCCGCCTCGCCTCGGATGAGGGGCTGAGAGGCAGCGCTCCCGGACTGTTCTGCCAGGACCGCATCTGGTGGCGTGTGGGGAGGACAGAGCTTCACTCTGACCTCCCATTCCTTGCTTTTTACGTGCATGCCCCCCCCCCCCCCCCCCCAAGTTCCTTCAGTTAACCATGGTGACTTGTGGTTTTTAGCCATCTGTGTAGCTGACATCTTCATTGGAACGATTCAGGGTAAGAGCTTCATTCAGTGGCACTACAGCTGGGCAAGAACCTCGCCCACCCATCCCCCCCCCGGGGCGGCAAACAGCAGTCTTCACGACACAACTGCTTGTCCTTAACTGATACAGCACCTTGCTGCCTGCTACTTAGATATAAATACATTTAACCTTGTATGTCCATCAATACGTCCATACTGATCCTTCAGGTTCCAACCCTGTGTTGTGTTGGAAGAGCTGATTAGAAGGAAGAGAACATTCCGGATGGGATCCCAGTCCATCGCAGGGCATAAACTTTCAGTGTTTATTTCTGAAAATTGAATTAAATATACCAGAAGCTGCAGTACTTGTAATAACGCATTTGATTTATCCCGTTGTGTTCCCGCCAGTGTAATATAACCGCAATCGCTACCTACATGTTTTGTGAATTTACCGGATTATGTTGCTGATGATACAGTGGCTGCTGCAGCCTCTGGAACACATTAAACGAATTAGGAGACCATTAGCAGCTCATTAAAAATGACAGAGTGGGCTCAGGTAGTCAGGCGAGGCCGTGTAACACGGAACAGAGGGGCCCGGCGCTGCTGTGTCACCATGCGTGTATCTGCAGTGTTTAACATCCGTGTTTGATTTAAGAGGATTATGGGAAAGCTGCAAGTCATAGGTAGCATAGCCATGAAAGGCCAGGCGGGAGGGGACGTAACCTTACTGTCATGTCTGGTGATTCCAATAAAGCATGTTATTGGTTCCTGTAAAACATCCAGCTGTAGGAACATCTAAATCTTTATCAACAACGAAAGTGGAAAAAGGTAGAATTACTTTGTTGTTGTTCCTGCATACTTACAGCATTTTTTCCCACAAACTAAAGTACAGAACAGTGGATTTTGGAGGAATGCAAGAATGAACGAGTTGTCCTTCACTCTCAGCGCTCCGGCTGAGTGCGAACAGACCTGGGAATCCGCGCGACAGCTGAACGGAGGCTCAGGAACGTCGATCTGGGAGTAGCTGAGTTAAGCTACCTGGAATCCATGAATATTCATGAGTAGTGGCACAAATCATAAATCCAAGATTACAAATGATAAAAATGGCATGGGGATAAGCTCAAGTGCCCAGAAGAAAATTCATGGCTCCTATGCCAATTGTAGGGGTGGGGGGGAGGGCAGGCAGGTGACCTCAATGCTGTTACTATACAAGGCACATCCAAAATGTCGTGGCATTATCGTACTGGTGGCTTGTCACCTAGTGAAAACCCATTTGCTTGTTTGTCGATTTATTAAATTTTTTCTGAAATTTCCAGTGCACTAATCCCTGAAATTCAAGTCTAACTACGCTGTAAGGAAGCAGGCAAGCCACATGCTCCCACATGCGCTGAAATCTGTCACCACAGCATAACCCTTTCCCCTCTCTGTGTTCGGAGCTGGCCCCAAAAAATGACATCATCAGAGCGCGACCTGCCACAACGCCTTGATGTACATAGCCAGAGAGTGGCTCTCAGACAGGCGTATGCACACTGCAACTGAGACTACACCCTCATCCTCAATATTAACCCCCCCCCCCCCCCCGTGGCTCTCCCCAGGGGGGAGGGGGGAATGGGGCTACGGAAGGGGCAGTTTGAAACAAAGGGATAGGATGTGAGAGTTTTCCACCTAAGGACTGAAGATGTCCATGAAAAAGACAAGGTCTTTACTTCATCAACTAAAAGACAGAACCCACTCCATAATAACAAATCTACACCATAACATGTTTATACATGTGTACTCACTTCTTAACTTGAAAATTCTCCCTTTCCCACCTCCTGAATATCGTTCATTTCATTACCATTTCAGGGTAACAGAGCGACTGCAGGGCAGACATGTGTGAAGCTAAAGCCATTTTTGTAAGCCGCAGATCTGGCTGGGGAGAACGACAGTAATGGTCAAACTCTCTTCCTTTCCTGCATC